CTAGTTCCAGCTACTCGGAAGGCTGAGGCGGAAGGATCGCCGGAGCCAGCCAGTCGAGGCTGCGGTGGCCGGGAGCGGCCACTGCACTCCAATCTGGGCGACCGAGTGAGACTCCAACTCAAAAAAAAAAAAAGTATAAAACCAAGAATAGTAGAGATGAAATTGCTGGTTTTTTACAAGGACATTTTATTGTGGAAGACCGTTTTGTTGCAATCAGGCCCCAGGATGTGGCAGCCCCAGCCGCCTTGCATGTGAGAGCTAGGAGGCCAGCTCGCCCGTGCCTGTGTCTGTTCACCTGGCTGCCTGCTCTCCCTGTCAGACCGAAGTGATGCACGCCTCGTTTTGTAGCAGATTTAAATGTATATGTTCATATTTACCACTCTTTGCTGACAATGTTTCCTGGATACGAAGATTAAAAACCTGTGTTTTTTGTTTTGGTTGGGTTTTGGGGGGTTTTTTTCCTTTTGCCTTCTGGTATCTCTTTCAGCAAAAACCAGGTGGTACTTTTATAGGTTTTATATGTGATTAGAAAACACATTCATTTCAGCAAGGCCAAACGCAGCAGCAATCTGTGGCTTATACCTCGTTCCTTTGTGTCCTTGAATGCTTCATTTTTCATTCCTGAAAGAATGTCTTTTGACATTTTGCCATTAAGATAGACAGATCTATAGATTTGAATATTTTGAGGTATGACATTTTAACTACTTGGCCTTAGGAGGTTTTCACTGGAAATAGTCTCTTTCCAGTAATGAAGCCTGTATGTGCAGTATTTTCTCATTGGGACAGGAAAAATGTACCAAAATTCTTTCATATTTAATCAAAATAAAGAGTTACTTAAGTGTATTTTAAATATGATGTCGGCTAAGTTCAGACCTTAAATGCCTGTAAACCCCTTTTATATTGAATGAATCATTTTCTAGTATTTGCATAATTCCATAAATTTCTAAAGTGTAGATAAAGCAAATGTCCTCACATTCTATTATAATGCTCAGTTTACCCGTTAGTTCAACAGTTATTAACTTGTTGAAACTTAGAGTTTCAAAAATAAATGAGATTATTTGTTCAAAATGCCATCAGGTCTTCCTGGAATGACATTAAAATTATATAATGTAAATCCGTTTGACCTGTGAATCCTTGTCATTATTTAGTGACATTTCTTACAGAACAAATTGTTTGCGGGTTGGGCAGGCTGCTATGGAGCTTGGCAGAGAGCTATAAAAACAAATTATCCTTTCATTTTATACATCATTTGTTCAAACATCTGTAAAAATTGCTTTGTTTTTCTGTAATAGAGAAGTGTCATTCAGTGGTTAAAAGCACGTTAGCTATTTTAGATACAGACCACAGACTGTATCAGGCAGAAAGTGTCTGTGAAGGAGGAGTGCCCAGCGTTGTATCTGTTACTTTGTCTTAAGGACAAAGAATTCCCTCTCCCTTTGCCTGCTAAATTTACCACAGAAGATATAAAATACAATGAATATAGGTCTTTTTAAAGTTTAGAAGATGTATGATTGTTTGTTTCTCATTTGGTTCCATTTCGCTTGCTGCTTGTACTTTAGCATTTGCTGTACTGGTACAGTTAGGTATTTAAAGTAACAGTGATATGTCCCAGATTTACCATGGAGCTAGCATATAAAACCAGGTCAAACAGCATGGAATAAATAAACATCTTCCCTACTGTCCCCAGAAGTCAATATTTCTCAAGTTAGTGTTATTTTGAATGTACTTTATAGGCATTAGGATGCTTGTATTTTATTACTTTAAAATAAAACCAGAGAGCGTCAACAATCCAAAGGACTGTTGCTCTCACAGTTTCAACAGATTGTATTGCTTTTCAACTTTCTGACTTTTTGCTAATAAGGCCAAACATTAAGACGTTTACAGTGTAATGAGCTTTACTCCTCCCCACCCCACTCCAGTTTCTCTAAGCAGTCCTTGTTCTGCCTGGTGATTGCTCCAATGCTGGGGGCCACACCTGCCGGGGGCCACACCTGCCAGGGGCCAGGGGAAGGGAGCCATTCAAGTGCTCTTAGAGCACACTGAGGAGAGAGCATCCTGAGAGAAGGACGTGTCTCATTTTCAGCCTAGCTAAAGGCCTGCAGTAAGCATTTGTGAATACCTAATGATTATAGTACTGGTTTATTGAGAAGTACTTGGCTGTAATGGAACTGAGCCTAGCTCTGTTAACTAGTAAACTTGTTGAAGACAGGCTGTCATATCATGTTTGCCAGCCTGGCATATAGTAAGTCCTCGATAATATATTTCTTTCTTTCTTTCTTTCTTGTTTTTGAGTCTTACTCTGTTGACCATGTTGATATACCATGGCACCATCATGGCTCACCACAGCCTCCATCTCCTGGACTCAGGCAATCCTTCTGCCTCAGCCTCCCAAAGTAACTGGGACTAGGGACTTACAGGTGCATGCCACCACACCCAACTAATTTTTGTATTTTTTGTAGAAACAAGGTCTCACTATGTTGCCCAGGCTGGACTTGAACTCCTGGTCTCAAGCAATCCTACCACTTTGACCTTCCAAAGTGCAGGAATTATAGGCATGAGCCACCATTCCTGGCCAGTAATATTTTTTGAATAACTTTATAACTCCCTAGAGAGCACTTCAGGACTTTTGACATTTAAACCTTTGTGACTTCTGTAATTCAGTGAAGCATTATGATTATAGTCCAGGAAGTAGGCTGAAACTTTGATTCTTAGCTGTGAATAGATAACAAGGTCCATCATCTGCCTCTGCCATAATTATAAAATGCACACTATAAACACCTTCTTGGTACTGATTCCTATTATACATTCAAAGCACTGATGCTGAGACAGTCTTGTGATCTGAATGGATGTTGTAAGCTCAGCTGCTGAATTTGTCTTTTAGTAGAAAGACCAGCTTGGCACTCTTTAGGCAGTAAGACTGTACAAACCAAGATTGTTCACCTCCTGTTAGCGCTCGCCTCTACCCGTGCTCTGCCAGGCATGGAAACCAGACTTATTTTCTTTCTGCATTCTGAATCTGACTGATTGAGAGGACCCAAAGACAGCCAGTTTGGGCACTGATATGTGATGTTACTGTGGCGTTTATTGCAGTGGAAGGGCTTATGCCAGTGGAGAATATACAAAAGGAAAGAAGACTGTCTTAGAAAAACGATGACACGTTCTATAATATTTGTTCATATTTATTTTCTTTGGAAGCTATAGTATACTATAAATGAGGGAGCACAGTGTGCAGGGCCCAGAATGAATATCTAATATGAATAAGTATTAACTGAATTAAACTGAATTTCAGTAAAACATTTCATTAGGAAATTCTGTACACCTTCACGTGCTTGCACTTAAACCCTCCTTTTCCTCTGGCCACATGGGACAAATGTCAGAGATTTCCTGTAAATTGTTGGCAGAGGGGAAGGAGCAAGCACCTATTTGTTCTTGTGTTCCTGGGTCTGATTGTCAGAACGATGACAGCCTATCACGTACAGCCAAGCTCATGCAAAACTTTTTTCTGTTGGAACCCACATTCTAGACTCTGGCAAGAGCGAGGGAAGATGCAGATTATGTGTCATGCCTTGTACGCTCATTGGAATTCCATTCACTTTTTTCTCTCACTTAAGATAGTTTATTGGACTGTGAGTGGATGAGAGTGTCATTGTTAGAAAATCTTGAATTTTTCAAAAGCAAATTATTTGTAAATGTCACAGCTTGAATTGTAGAATGTCTTGCTTTAGCCATCCAAAAGGCCTTTGTTGGATGACTTTCATGCTGCAGTCTTAGCACTAAGTTGGAATACATAAAACATCCTGGTGAGATATATGAATCATATTGAATAAGATGAGGCTTCTCTTAGAAACCTCAGCACCAGAGCAAGTTGCGTGGCCTGCTCTCCAAAACCATTAAGGAGAACAGCCTGCTATAGCTTTTTTTGCAGAAGATGTTGAATTTTAATGATTTCAAATAAACTTCCTAAAACTCCCTCATTTTAGCTCAGTCCAGCATGCATAGACTTCTCTTGCTTAACCTTATCCAAGAAGGATAGTATCTTGCAGTATTCCTAGTGGGCATCTTTAAGAAATTTTGCCTTGGGGAGAATTTCTAGAAGGATTGTTGTGGGTTCCACAATAAAATAATACCTCCTTGGTTTGCAAATGACTCGAGTTTCCAAAACATAGAAGAAAATTAAATCAACTACTATGATTCTTCTTCCCCCCCGCCCCAAGGTACAGATGGTAAAAGGAAAATATTTTTACCATATTCTAGGGATCTTTCCTTGGTCTTCAATCACTGCCCCTCACACCATACTAGGAAACAGAGACTCATAGCTTGGTGGCAATTGGAAGGTGAGGGTATCTGACATTAGTGTGCCCCATTCCCTAAGATGCCTATAATTCTTCATAGTCAGGTCTAAAGACGAGGAATTGCACATTCCCATATTGAGTAATAAGATATTTACTGTTTCAAAATCTTCTCTCCATGTTCTTTTGTTTTTATTGTTTTTCATAAATGTAATTTATAGTAGTGTATGTGATTTTTTTTTTTTCTTGTTTTAAACAAATACCCTTGGAATTGACTCATGATCACCTGAAGTTTCTAGCTTGATAATTTATATTGTACTCTAGGTAACCCTTTAGTTAGTTAAGTTTAATATGGAAAGCAGTGGAATCCTTTTGAGTTATTTTGTTAGAATCTGCCCCTCAGAAACAATAGCAAGAGAACTGTGGATTTTAGCCTAGAATACAGGCTCAGGAGTTACCTGCCTCTTACATTTATTTTTAAAGTAAACCCATCAAAACAGTAAGAAGCTTTCTAACCATTATACTAGTGAACAGCCAAAAAACAACTTCAAAAAGTTTATGTAAAATTGTTGAGTACAAATCAAAACCCAAGCAACCTCCTAGTTTTTTCCCCTAGCTCTTAACACTTTCTAACATAGATGGGTAATTCTGAGTATAATATTGTCTTCTTTGTTATCTTTGAGGAAATCTTAGCCGTGGGGTTAATTCAGACTCTAAAATCTTTTAGCTCTAACACTCCAAGAAAGGCCGTGTTTGCTGGAAGCATGCAGTTGCTGGCGGGAGTCAAGCTGTGCACAGGAAGGACCCTAACCAACCACCCGCACTATGAAGACAACAGCCTGAGGGAGCGAACCAAAGCGGTGAGGGCCTGTCTGTGCCTGTGTTCGCCTTGTAGGGACCGGCTGTGCGCTGGATTTCCCTCTGCTGGGTAAAGACGGGGCTTATTGCTGCACACCCCCAGCTTGTCGTGTAGGAGGGGAAATCAGAACTGAAGTGCACAAGGCTTGTGGGCTCCTGATTTGGACTTCAGCCTACCCCCACCCACGGAGGGCATGTGGTTAAGCCACACGGTCTTCTCAGAGGAATAGTTGGGGAGATGCACGCCTTGATATGTACAGAGAGTGTTTGAGAACAAAGCCCTTGGAACTTTTGAACTGGGGAGTGGAAGGAAAAGTTGTTGAGGCCTGCTGGCCACTTTCTTTTTTTTCCCCCTTCCTCCCACCCCACTCACTGGCCACATTTTTAATGGACGGTTTGTTATGTGTGGTGGTTTTGTTTTTTTAAACAAGTAGTATAGCCATACAGTTCAACATGCAGAACATACTAAAGGAAATAGAAGCTGCCTTCCAGCTACTAGTTCCCCTCCCAGGAGGCAAGTAATTTTACCAGTTTTTGGAGTGTTCTTTCCATAGGTATTTTATGCATATACAAATGTATTAGGGATGCCCACAAATGTATATACATTTTAAGAGCTGTTAAGAGATGTTCACCATAATCAGAAGTGTTTGGACACCTATAGTAACCACTTTGAACACCTCTTGTAATTGCAGAAGTCAAACATGACTTCGTTCATCTTTTGTATTGGTATATATTGAGTATTATAATTTTAATACAGTTTTTCCTTTCTTAATATGTATGTACATTTTTTTGGCATCCTCTGTGGATGCCAAAAAAATGTACCTATATATCCATATTTCTTCTTTTTTTACAAAAGAAGTAGCAATCTACACCTCGCTATTTTGGCACTTGTGTATTTTGGAGATCATTCTGTGTCAATATATTAGTAGTTTCTTGTTAATTTTAAAGCGGCTTAATATTTTATGTGGATTTAGCATGTTTTATTCAGCTATTTTGACAGTTTTCCGGTCTTCTGCAGTTATATAATCAGTGCTCTAAATAAATGTGCATATACCTTACTCTTCACAGGTGCCGTATATGAGGAGGGACTCAGGAAAACCGGATTTGTCTTGTGGAGGGTGGGCCCCTTGTAGTACCGGTTTCTCCGACTAGATCAGTGCTCTGGGAACTCATCAGAGTTGTGAGAGGCTGCATTCAGCTTCAGTGAATTTTTGTTTTCGGAGGTTCAGTGCAGTTGCCCATCTCATGAAGGATGATTTACGAGTGCCCCTGCCCACACCACACTGAGTTTCAGCAGCTTTTGACCAGAAAGGCATCCCTCCTGTGCGCTACCCTTCCTGTTCTCTCGGTCTTGGCCCCGGTGACTTTGTTACCCCGAAGGAAGAAAGACTTCAGTGAAGTGTTTTGCAGATGTCAAAGAGGTGAAACAAAAAGTGATAGAAGCATGAAAAGGCAGCGCAGCTGACAGGTTCAGAAACTGTTGAGCCGTGGAGAAAGCATCTCAAGGTGTGTTGCAGTAAGCAGAGTACTTTGAAAGTGACAAGTTTAAACATGTAGGAATAAATACACCGTTTTTTATCAATAAATTCTAGGTGTTTGGGGTCCCCCCTCATATATCTGTACATCAGATTTTTAGATATGGAGTTGCTGGGTCAAAGGGTGTTGGCATTTGTAAACTAGAGCCATGTTATCACTTCTGCACAGGTTATATCGACTTACATTGAAGTCAGCAATGTAGGGGATGCCTGTTTCCCTTAGTTCTCACCAACAAAGTTTCAAACTTTTTAATCTTCCGTGCTAGTCACTTCTTAATGTCGGCAGTTGAAAAGCTGTTGAAAGCCGGGCTTGGTGGCTCAGCCTGTAATCCCGCGTCTTTGGGAGGCTGAGGTGAGTGGATTGCCTGAGCCCGTGGGTTCGAGACCCGCCTGGGCAACTTGGCGAGACCTCATCTCTACAATACATAAAAAACTAGCCGGGCGTGGTAGCGCACGCCTGTAGTTCCAGCTACTCGGAAGGCTGAGGTGGAAGGATTGCCTGTGCCCAGCAGGCGAGGCTACAGTGGCCAGAAACGGCCACTGCACTCCAGTCTGGGTGACAGAGTGAGACTCCAACTCAAAAAAAAAAAAAAAGAAAACAATCTGAGTTTAGACTCCTGCTAAAATGGGAATTTTCATTCGACCCGAGTGCTTTGGAGAGTTCCCAGTTAACTTGACGGAGTAGGGAGTACCCGGCACTCCAGACAGAGGTTCAGTCAGGAGCTGGTCTGGACTGCGTGGCCTGGAGGAAAGAGGTACCACGTGGGTGAGAAGTCCTCTGCCCCACCCTCTCCAAGATCTAGTCCCTGTCTAGATACTAAGAGTTATGCTCCTTGCAATGCCCTTAGCCTGAGGCCTTGTGCAGGACTAGAGGATAACCTCACAGTTTTCACAGCAGAAGCAGCTCACCTCCCCACCAACCCACCCGTCTGTGTGGACACACTAAATCAGGCCCTCACACCCAAACCCTTTCGCCACAAACCTGTCCTTAGAAAGCAGGAGGAACAGGGGAGCCGGTGTCTCTCTTCGGGAGCACACGCGCGCACACACACACACACACACACACACACACACACACACACACACACACAACTGTCCACACACACACACACAACTGTCCACACAACTTTTTCTCATTGCAGAGTCCCAGAATATAGGACACTCTAACAGTCTGTGGCTGTTTTCCTCGGGGGTGTGGCCTGTGATGGGTGTGAAGGGGCAGCTCCTGGTGCCCTGTTGGTACCTACTGCAAGGTGCTCTTGCTCGGGGGGGAAGGATGAGAGGCAGAGAAGTGGTGGGTCTCCCACTGCCCAGGCTGGAGGTGGCAAAGCAGCAGTGAAGCCACAGGTGTATGGTCTGGGACCCGGAGGCTCTGGGGGCCTTTTCTCTACCTGACATTCTCAGAAGTGGGGTCTCCCCCTTCTTAGTCCATGTGTTCCCCAAATTCTGCCATCACCCCTAATGGGCCATTTTAGTCTGGAGGTCCCCTTAGCAAAGGAATCCCTGTCTTATTTACTCAGCCTGTCTTATTTGCCTTGGGGAAGCATTCTTAGAATTCTCAACTGATGGATATATTCGTAGCGTAGCTCAGAATAATACATTTGAAATCCAGATGTATTTGGTGTCAAAATTCAAGTGTGTTCAGCATGACTCATGTTCCCTCTTCCCACAGCTAAATAATTGCAGTATTCCTTTGGAAATTTTCTGTACACACTCAGGCCAGCAGATGAGTGAGTCCAACAGTGGCCTGGACAGGGCAAGGAAGAACCTGGGTGTCCAGGTCTGAGGTTCCTGTGATCCTTAGGTTCCTCCCAGATCACCCATGGGCGGCTATATCATATTCCTCAGTTAGTTCCTTGGCAGTTGAGTGGCATTTTGCTCTATTCCATGTTTATCTCCTTTTGAAGGTTTATCAGATATATGCAAAGAAGTCTCCAGAGGAGGTGCATGCCCTCCTGAGATCCTTCGGCACCGACTATGTCGTCTTGGAAGACAGCATCTGCTACGAGCGAAGGCACCACCGGGGCTGCCGGCTCCGGGACCTGCTGGACGTCGCCAATGGGCATGTGAGCGTGTTACCTCACCATGTGCGGGAGTCTGGGGGGGGCTCCATTTGCATTCTGAGAATGGAAATCTTTGTCTACTTTATTTCAAACTAAAGTATTCACTTTTCTCTTGCTTCCTGAAAAACCCCTTTAAAGAAGCACGTTGGTGACTGCCACCAGGGCTGGGCAAGGCGGGGGGGGAGTTCTGGGTCCCCAATTTCACATCAAGCAGAGCAGCTCTGCGTTTGGCTAGTTTGTGTGGCGGGGCTTTGCATTAAATGTGTCTTTTAACGATTTTGTGGATTTAAAAAAACCTCAGTGCTCAAAACCGCTGCTCTTGAGCTTCATATTGGCCCACCTCCGAGTGGCTGGAGCAGAGGGCCCTTCCCTGTCCAGCCTCAATAGAGAGATCTGTTTGCTCCTCCCACCCTCGCGGGGCATCCTGTGTCCACTGGCACACTTCCACAGAGATGATTTTCTGTGTCCACGCTTGTGCTCCAGAGCCAAAGACCAGCATGCCATTGCTCCTTTCTCCCATCTGAGGAAAATGTTCTTGGAGCTATGCCAGGTCTCAGTAGCGCAAACAGGATTTTCACCCATTATAGGTGTGATGGATGCTGTAGCAAATGATGTAAATGCTGATAGATATTTGAAAACAAGTGGGAAAAATTGACAAATTGAAGCTATGTCTGAAAAACAAAAAACTTAACTGTAGGGAATTTGAGATTCAGATATTTATTCAAGGAGTATAGATAGCAGTCTATAACTATCTTGGATTCAGAGACGATACAGACCAAAGACATGCATTTAGATTTTGCTTTGAGTATAACTTTTTCTGACTAGGCCATCTGGTGGAGAACTTGCTCTGGTCATAGTAGTTCTTTGTATTTCATTTTTGTGAGAAAGATAATACAATACATCCTTAAGAACAAGGAGATCCGAATTCTGGTTTTGGCTGGGCCATTAATGGTGATCATTGTGAGATGCTGGACTCTCCTCCTCAGCCTTAGTTTCTGCTTCTGAAGAGGGAAAGGAATGGACCAGATGATCTCCAAGTAGCATTGACATTGACATAATATTATTTAATTTCACCAACATATTATTCTTAAAGAAACCCAATATTTCTTCCTGCTTAGTTGTCTTTTATAAATATGATTTTACTTTCAAATTGTATTTGGGTTTGTTTTGGTTTTAGATGATGGATGGCCCAGGAGAGAATGATCCAGATTTGAAACCTGCAGACCACCCTCGCTTCTGTGAAGAGATTAAAAGAAACCTGCCTCCCTACATGGTCCACTTCACTAGAGTGTTTCAGAACAAAACATTCCACGTTTACAAGCTATCCAGAAACAAGTAACAATGATTTCTGTCCAATCTCTATTTTTGATACAGTGAAACTGCATCATAATGAAACTCAGTAGATAAAGTTTCCTATGTAAGTAGGTAGCCAGTACCTCAAAGCTGTGATATGAGTAAGTTCTAAAGATGTTTACACCAGTGTTACCTGAAAGTATCTTCTTTGATACTTTGAAAGTATCTTCTACAAGCTTAAGTCTCTTTTGTCTTGTCCATCAATGTTCTTTAACCTAAATGTTCACAGCTTTCTAAAAGTGACCTAGAATTTTGTTGTTGGGAGAATAATATGCATTCCATAGGTAGCCTGGACAGGCATGTATCATGTTGGAAGGTGTTCAGGATTCGAAACACTGCTAATTTTCAGGTGACTTAAGATAGCTGTGGTTGATTCAAATTGAGAGGACATTAAGTTATTCAATATGGGATTTCACTAGTGAAAAACATTTGGTGGTTTTTTAAAGAGCTCATGTTTGTCCTGTTTCACCTTAAAATTTTATAGTATTTTTCCAATTATGCTTTTAACATTAACAAAAAAATCATGTTAGGTCTTTGTATGTATCAAATGTTTTGTTACACTCTGTCTGGAATAGAATGTGTACCAGTCAGTAGTATGTGTCTTGTATTAAGTGTGTGTGTGTGTGTGTGTGTTTTAATACTGGGCACAGAAAAATGTTACAAATTCCATATTGTAAGTCCTTAGAGGGGCAGAAATGTATGTAGTCCAGTAGAATTTGTTACTGTTTAGTGTTATTATTTTAAAATCTACTGATACTCTGTAATCTCTCCTGCAAGTAAAATGGTTTTGCTTTATTTCTTACTCATTTCAATTTACTGGGTTTGCAAAATTTTGTAAACTTTTTGTGTTTTTAGCCTTTGTATTTTTTACAGCCTAGAATCTTGCAAAGTCTGAATATTTTTAAAATGTTATATCTTAATTAGTTCACTAATATAATATTTTTAGCAGACAGCATTTTCATACCAGGTTTGACTTGTGGTCTCCAATCTTACTGTGAGGGTCCTGGTAACATTCTTCTTTTCCTTACTAAAAGATAACAAGTGCCTCTAAGTCATGCTTATTTGTAAACAACAAAGAGGATTATACGTACCGGCTCAAAAATTTTTGATAATTGCTTTTATAATTAATTTCTAATGATAGGGACATGTAAAAGTTGCAGATAAAAGCATATTGTGCATTTAATTAAATCAAGATGGCTAATGAAATTAACTTTCTCTCCTGCTCTTGCCAGTTGGAAATAATTTAAACGTTTCTCCTTGCAGTTGTATTGAAATAAATTACCATAGGCATCAAGATGGATACACCACATTCTCAAATGACTTTATACTCAGTTACTACTTATTAAGCAGCATTCAAACAAATTTTTACAATGTCATGTTGGACATTAAGAATACCCAGCTTTTATCAGAACTTTTTAAATAAAAGATTGACATCTCTAGGTTATTAAATTATGCAACTGAAACTCCTGAATTATATCTTTCCTGAATCCCTTAATAAGGTTGGAGACTACTGCAGTTTAGGATAATACAATAATAAAACATTTTAATCAGTACTAAAACTTTAATTAAGCCAGTAATGATGCATGCCTGTTGTAGCTGACAGCATGGGTCAGTACATCCTTCAGCGAGTGCCTTACTCTAATTGAAACCAAGCACATGTAAGGTACAACATGTTAAATTATGTGGTTTTGTTTTTATAATTCTCTGTTACCTCTTCAGATACATTTAAACTTATGTTAAATATTCCTGTATGTATGAGTCTAAGCATTTGGGCATTTGGAGTCTCAGTATACAAGAAATATATACTTAAACTTTTATGCTTATCATCACTGTGATGATGGCATACAGTAATTTTTTTTCATGGTTTAGGTACCGTTGTTGCCAAAACATTTAGTGTTCAGTCTTTAGTGAAAAATATAAAGTGCCAAAAAAATCTTGCAAGACAAAAATCCATACATACACTCTTTCCAAGACACTGTGACCATTTACGGTAGAAGTTTTAATTTCCTGACGACCAAATCTCTCAACAGAGCATATTAAATATTTATAGCACTCGTCAGTATTCTCTTACATGACCTTCTCATTGGAGTACATAGGAGAAAAAGAGGAAGAGCATCTGACTTCAGGCTCTGGTTTCCAGCCTCTTTACTGAGCCAAAGCAAGAGACCTGTGGCCTGTGCTAGCCACCACTCAGACCTTGGTGGCTGTGTCAATACTTGGTGATAGCCTCAAATAATGACTCTGATATTTATTGATAGAAAAACCACTTGAGTTTCCCTGTGAGCTAGCAGTCAGATGGCTCTCTAAATACAGGAGAAGTACTCTTAACTGACTCTGCTTCTGTGACTTCCCAGACCCCAGAGGCTTGTCTTCCGTAGGTTGCCAGTCCCACCCTAGCCAGGAGGCTGCTCTCTGGTTCCTCTGCACTCTCCTTCCCTCCCTTGAGCTGTATGCCCGTCCCAGAATTCTCCATGCAAGTTCTCCTTCCTATTCTAAGTATACAACTCAACTGCTTACATCAACATAGGAAACATGGATGTAAAAGGAGAGTCATTACTGGAAAAATTAAATTGAATGCTTTGGTAAGAAGTGATCATTGTTGAGTTGCTGTTAAAAGTTGCTTTTAAATTAGGTTTGGCTGGGAAAAGTATAAAATATCGGGGAAAATATAAAAATCAAGAAAATTTCCGAGCTGAGATTACTTCTTAGTTTATTTAAGTATTCATTCCACCTTTAAAAAATCTAAACCCATAGGAAGATATTAAAATGTACCCAGACCAAGCTCAGTGGCTCAGCCTGTAATCCCAGCACTCTGGGAGGCTGAGGCCTAAGCCCACAGGTTCGAGACCCACCTGGGTAACTTGGCGAGACCTCGTCTCTACAATAAATCAAAAATTATCCAGGCGGGGTAGCATGCACCTGTAGTTCCGGCTCCTTGGAAAACTGAGGCGGAAGATTGCAGGAGCCCAGCAGGTCAAGGCTGTGTGGCCGGGAGCGTGCCACTGCCCTCCAGCTTGAGTGAGACTCCAACTCAAAAAGTAAACGATAAATGTACCCAAACCATGTTATTGATATGATTTATGCAAGCAGTAGAACTGCAACTATCGGACCGTCATGTCAAAAGATGAGCAAGTGCACATACACGTCTTCAGGTCTGATCCCCTACTTCGGTGTATTTCCTTCACTCAGTGACCAATTACTGATACTGATCACAGTCATTACTAGTGATTCTACTTTAGTGAAAGGTTCCAACCACTTTTATTACAGGCCTTTAAAAAACAGGAATCCTCCCTGTGTACAGACAGACAGCTGGTCATAAATTCTGAAAAGAGGAATTCATTTCAGTTATATTAGCCAGGAGCATAATTAGGTGTTACCTAATTCATTTGTTTTCCTCTTAAAAATGATTTTCTTGACCTTTGTGAGATCAACAAGAATGTGTATGTGTATATGTTTTGGGTGGGTACTGCCAGGTGGTAAAGGCATATTTCATCTGGCCTGCCTCTTTATTTGACAGTTAACTAAAAATAAAAATGTTTATTCTGATTCCACACTAACTTTGTCCAAGAATTAAAAATTTTAGCTTATCTTGGGCCAAAACCTACCTAAATTAATATAGTCATATGCTGTTTTTGAAGTTTAATACAAACTTTGGAATCGATGGCAAAGTAGTAAAATGTTCTCAGATCATGTATCTTGGTTAATATGCTCCCAAATGCTTTATACATGGCAACCTTTGGCCTGAGAAAGTGTTTGTCTGTTCATGGAAAAAAGTTTTTAAGATGAGAGAGTGGCTTACTTTCCTGTGGCAATTGATTTTCTGTTTTTAACATCCTATAGGTAAAATCTTACAAAGAGCTTTTATAATTTGTTGTACTGAATTGTATGGAGATTGTATACTAAGTAAAGCTCTTTTAAATTACACAAGATATGTTTTGCATTTCTTTGAAGGTCAAAGGCCAGGGAACCTGCTTATTGAAGTGTGTTAAATATTTGCTAAATAGAGGAAATCGCTAAAGATGGGTCTGTCAAAGTCTTAACTGTGCTTGTTAATGCTGAAGGAGTTTATTTTCTTCACATGGAATTTGGTTTGATAGCTGCCTGTTTCACTTGAATTTCAAAGTTATAGTTGAGATTTATAAACAGAAGACTGCTCTCAGCTGGATTTATCCTTAAAGACATAAATGCTATTTGTTTTAACCTTAAGAACAGTTTCTACTTCTAGATTAAATTCTCAATCTTTGGTAATTTAGGAATGTGAGTCCACATTCTTACTAAGAGTGTGTGAGCTGGGCTCGGTGGCTCAGCCTGTAATCCCACGCTTTGGGAGGCTGAGGTGGGATTTTCTGAGCCCACAGGTTCAAGACCCACCTGGGCAACTTGGCGAGACCTCATCGCTACAATAAATCCAAAAAATTAACCGGGCGTGGTAGCACGCACCTGTAGTTCCGGCTACCTGGAGGGCTGAGGCAGAAGGATCGCCGGCACCCAGCAGGTCAAGGCTGCAGTGGCCATGAGTGTGCCACTGCACTCCAGTCTAGGTGACAGAGTGAGACTCCCGACTCAAAAAAAGAAAAGGAAGAAAGGAATAATGAGGGAGACGAGGAAGAAGGGAGGGAAGACGGATAGCCCTTATGGTAAATGTGAGTGTCCTTTTGTGGAATATTTGTTTCAGTTATACACGTGGCCATTAATGTCATGGGGTACAATATAAAATGTATTTCTTCCTGTGAGTTACAGACAAAGTTTGAAAGCCGTGCCCTTACAGCAGGGAGGACCCTGAGAGGATGACCGGCGGGACTTGTCTCTGTCTTTGTCCTCCAACTCTGCTCGAGTAGAACATTGATAATATTAAAGAACTGTTATAGAAGGACAAACATGGACTTTGCAGCAACTTGGATGGACATAGAGTCTGTCTTCCCCAGTGATCTAGCACAGAAAAGAAGAACTGAGTGCCACATGTTCTCATAAGCGAACCCTGAACACTTACCATAAAACTATAAGAAAGAGTCTGATAATAGCAGGACACTGCCAGGGAGGGAGTGGGGTACAACATCCCTAAGGGTACCCGATCGGAACCAGGTGAAGGGAGGCCCAGAATTTACCCGTACGATGACCACCTGTATACCTAATCCTGAATTGTACCCCACATCTTTAAATTTTTTTTAAGAAAGGTTATTTTGGCCAGACTGGGTGGCTCAGCCTGTAATCGCAGCACTTTGGGAGGCCGAGGTGACTGGATTGCCTGAGCCCGCGGGTTTGAGACCCCCCCAGGCAACTTGGTGAGACCTCATCTCTACAGTAAATCAATAATTAGGCCGGGCTCGGTGGCTCAGCCTGTAATCCCGCGCCTTGGGAGGCTAAGTGAGTGGATTGCCTGAGCCCGCAGGTTCGAGACCCGCCTGGGCAGCGAGACCTCATCTCTACAATAAATCAAAAAAAGTAGCCGGGCATGGTAGCGCGTGCCTGTAGTTCCAGCTACATGGAAAGCTGAGCCGGAAGGATTGCTGGAGCCCAGCAGATCGAGGCTGCGGTGGCCGGGAGCGGCCACTGCACCCAAGTCTGGGCGACAGAGTGAGACTGCAACTCAAAAAATAAAAAATAAAAATTAGCCGAGTACAGTAGCGCACACCTGTAGTACCGGCTACTTGGAAGGCTGAGGCAGGAGATCGCCTGAGCCCAGCAGGTCGAGGTTGCGGTGGCTGTGAGCGTTCCACTGCCTTCCAGTCTGGCTGACAGAGTGAGACTCCCACTCAAAAAAAAAAAGAATGTAAAAAATGGCATAATTCCAGAATCAGGAATGATGAGAAGTTTTATATGAGAATAAAGTATGCAGTTCTGTGACAAAAATAAACAAAACCTGGGGGAAATGTGTGACTTTCTAACAAAACAGAAAATGTCAATATGGCCCCCAAAAGAAGCTGAAAATTTCAGTGGAATAGAACCATAGAAAAGGGTTCAGAGGTTGCAAAGGACATTTGGACATGAAGGGTACTTGGGCCAAAATCTTTCTAACTTTTAAAGGATGGCTCCAAGTTTATTTAACTAGTCTCAGCCATAGAAAACACAGTAAGCCTCAAGTTTGTTTTAGGAAATTTACCAAAATTCAACACAGGTAGTGTAATGATTTTTTTATTACCACATAGCAAATTATCGTAAACTTTGCAGCTTAAAACAACATGCAACACACATTTATTTTCTCAAGGTTTTCTTAGCACAGCTTAACTGGGTCTTTTTGTGTCTCACAAGATTGCAGTCAGGGTGTCAGCTGGGTTACCTTCTCATCTGGTGTTAGGAAAGTTCTTGCAAGTTGGTGACAAAATTCAGTTACTTATGTTTGTAGGGCTGAGGCCATTATCTCCTAGAGGCCACTCTTCTCCATAGACAGTTCACAGCATGACTTTATGCCTCTTTAAGGCCATCAGGAAGCATCTCTCACTTTAGTTCCTTGTTTAAGAGTTTGTACAAACCGGGCTCGGTGGCTCAGCCTGTAATCCCACGCCTTTGGGAGGCTGAAGTGAGTGAATGGCCTGAGCCCGCAGGTTTGAGACCCGCCTGGACAGCGAGACCTCATCTCTACAATAAATCAAAAAATCAGCCAGGCGTGGTAGCGCATGCCTGTAATTCGGGCACTTGGAAGTCTGAGGCGGAAGGATCGTCGGAGCCCAGCAGGTCGAGGCTGCGGTGGCCGGGAGCGGCCCCTTGCACTCCAGTCTGGGCGACAGAGTGAGACTCCAACTCAAAAAAAAAAAGAGTTTGTACTTAATTAAGTCAGACCCATAGACTATAATCTCCATTTTTATTAACTCAAAGTCAACTTATTTGTGACCTGAATTACAATCTGCAAAATCCTTTAACCTTTGCCATATAGCATAATGATCGTGAGAGGAGCACCCATCATATTCACAGGTCCCACCCACACTCAAGGGAAGGGGGCTTTACAGGGCATGTTTATCAGGAAATGGAAATCTTGGGGACCATCTAAGAATTCCTCCTACCACAGACAGTTTAAAAGAATAGGGTATTAGCCGGGCTCGGTGGCTCAGCCTGTAATCCCGCACCTTTGGGAGGCTGAGGTGAGTGGATTGCCTGAGCCCGCGGGTTTGAGACCCGCCTGGGCAGCGAGACCTCATCTCTACAACAAATCAAAAAATCAGCTGGGCGTGGTAGCGCATGCCTGTAATTCCGGCTACTTGGAAGGCTGAGGCGGAAGGATCGCCAGAGCCCAACAGGTGAGGCTGCGGTGGCCGGGAGTGGCCACTGCATTCCAGTCTGGGCGACAGAGTGAGACTCCAACTCCAAAAAAAAAAGAATAGGGTATGGCCATAAGAGTGCTTGGCAACAGCTAACACAGGCCTGTAAACTTTGAAGAAGGGAAACACAAGATGAGTCCCAATTTCACCCTGACTTTCTCTTTTAGAGTCTTTTCTAAACTGTAGCACAGGAAAATGGAGCCCAAGCAGAGGACAGCAGGCTTACTGGAGAAAACACTGGAGTTCATGGCGGCTAAGGTGATTGGGATCTGGCAGAGGTTAGAGGGACAGGGCACTGGAGAGGAGGGACCTGCAAGAAAGAAAACCTGAGAATTTCCACTGGGTCCTTGGTCTGTTCCTAACCTGCACAGGTATATC